TTTGGCACATACATCATACATATCAGTGTGTTTCATAATCAGATCAAAGATGGACGAATAACGGCTGTTTTTATTTTTGGCCATATTACTACTACACGGAACACGTGTTTTCATGTAAATAAACAATATGTTGTATACGCCACTTGGAACTCAAGTTTCAAGGACACGCTCGCGACAACCCCTCTGCTTTAATATGACGAGCACAAAGAGAACTTTCAAAAATTTTATATATTCTCCATTCAAACAAATATGGCCGACTGGTGGCCATCTTGTTTTTTCATGGTACCCATGCTACTTTATCTTGAATGCAATGAACGTTTCTGTTTAAATTTTGTACAAAGATAATATACCAAGAGATACATCTGCACCAACATTATTTTTGTGATTCAATTCAATATGGCTGGCTGACGCCCAATTTTCATGTAAAAGCGCTAAATCGTCATTTTTACTTGTCCGGAGCTGTTTCTCAGAGATGACTAGGCCAATTTGGATCAAAGTTGGTATGATGATCATACATATTGGGTTATAGTTGCATGTCATATTTTTTCTGTGATTCAAACTAATATGGCTGACTGGTGTTTTTCATGATACCCATGCCTACTTTCCCATGAATACAATGAACATTTCTGTTTAAATTTTGTACAAAGACAGTATACCAATAGATACATCAACATGAACATTATTTTTGTAATTTGATTCAATATGACTGCCCAATGTCCAATTCTCGTGTAAAAGCACTAAATCATAATTTTTTACAAATCCATCTCCTATTAATGGTTTCAATCTAATCTCAATGACTTCATCAGCATCAAATTGATATGTCAGATCACAAAATTTGGGACGGGGACTGTGTCATTAACAATGACTTGGTTAGAGTTCATACATTTGTACATTTTCAAAATCACAGCTGTTGTCACTTCAACCCTTATCTGGTCAAGTTAATGTAAAATTACCTGAGGCTTTCAAGATAAGGGTTAATAACAGCAAAATGCCCAAATATGGAGCTTATTGTCAGTACATTATAATTCATCATTATATTCCCGCAGCTTTCTCGTCTGGAACGAGAACTAACCCAGTCTAGAGACGCTTCAATTCAAGAGACAGAGAACATGGAGAAGAAATTACACCAAGCATGTATTGATTTAGAGGAACGGACGATTCAAATAGAGGAATTAACTGAAACACTTAGGTAATTATTTGGATAATGGTATCAGAGCCAATCAGTAGAAACATAGATTTATTTCTTTGCTTGGGAGAGTGATATATTTTGCTGTGGTCAATGTCATTTACATTGAGTAGATTATGATTTGAAAGAAAATATTACACATTTATTGCTGCCGATTTGTACTAAAAAATAAAAATAGTCTAGTGGAATCTATTTGTATTTATTTACAAACACCTACGCATTCCACAGAGAAACAGCAATGGTTATAAAAACAAATGAAAGAAACAAGGGAAAAAAACAAGCACTCAAAATAAGATTTACCGAGTTCAGGGTTTGATGAGCAAAAAACCTTTTTTTTAATTAACTGTCAAACTTGAAGGTACATAAGTTGATCTCTGAGTAATAAAATTAACTGTTCGCAGTGGGTTTTATGTTGATGACATTCCATTAGATATATGACTGTAGTAACCTTTATACTGTAAAGTTCTTTTATTTTCACTTGGAATTTATTTTTGCTGAAAGGGTGATTCAATGAACATAAGATTCATATGTATATACCTTTTTTCTTATGTTTTACATTGAAATCATCAAAAATCAGTAAGACAAACTCCATGCAAACCAAAATGTATTTTCAGCAAAAATTAATTCCAGCTAAAATAGTATTTTACAGTAAATGTCTACATTAATGATTCTAACTGACATCATGTTACTGTAAAAATCATGGTTGTAAATTTCTCTTTTTTTGTATTTACCTCTTTTTAATCAGTCAAATACAGACAGATTTCACAAAGACATCAGCCGAGGTCAGTGATTTGAATAAGCAATTACATGATACTCGGAGAGAGTCTGATGACAAATCTACAGCGATCGCACAACTTGATATCGCTCTCAAAGATGCAAAGACACAGTTAGAACAAAGAACAAATCGAGGTATGAAAAACTGCACTCTTATTTGTGCATTACTTTATTTTGAAATTTGATATGCAGGGAAATCAAAATGCAATTCAGTGGCAATACTACTGGTATTTCTCTTATTTATTTTTTTTACAGTAACATAATAAATAAATTACACGCAGAATATTTTTTTCAAGTTAAATATATTTCAGCTAAATTTGAAAATGTTGTCATCGAGGTTATTCTGGATGATCTGCACAACTGATTACTGTTGGACTTCTGTCTAGACATATTTCTTGTATGTAAGGGGGTCTAAAAACTAACTCCAAGATGGCGTTAACGTTACACCGTAAATAGGCAGTCAATACCAAACGTGCACATTACACTCTTTCACTTTTCTAGCCATCGGTGTGATGTGTCTAATCACCGGTACATACTATAACTTAAGTGTTTACACACTTGTTTACCGTAGTTCGTGAGCAGTCGGCGAAATAACCATTTAAATATAAATTTGTTTTAAAAGGCATGCAGTGTACCCTTAAAATAAAGTAGTATATGGGCATCGATCAACCAATGGGAATCACGCTCTTTGCAGAGTGACACTACGATCTATTCGCAGAGAGCAATAATCGCCATTCAGCGAGTCACACTATCATGTCCCCCCTTTCATACCTCCATATTTATATTATTTCTATGTGTAAATGCGTCTAGACTGTAAAATATATTCTGAAACAAAGTCAATGACTATGAAATGTTGTCCAAGTTTAATTTTGGTATGGTTAATAAATATCATTTTCAAGATATGTGTTATAGTTATTAAAATAACATTTGTTAGGCTTAGAAATAAATTTTGTTTTGAGGTTTAGCAGTATTACTTTTGGGGAATTTTTTATACAGTTTATGTTATATTATAAGGTACATTGAGATTAATACAGTACATGTAGTATTAATTGATGAACATACATAACATTATTGTTCTTGTTAATTTTTGCTCTGAATTTTTCCCACATGAATTTTAATGTTTGAATAACAGAGGTTTATTTTGTGAAAGGTGATATAATTTTACTTTGAAGTTCAAAGGTTATCACATACAGGAGTCAAACATTGATTTTATGTGTTAGCCTAAGGGGTCCATGCATGATAACCAATTATAATGTTATATTACAGTTAATGAATTAGAGCAAAGATTACATCACATGGGAGAGGAATTGGAGTTAAATACGAAACGATCTGGTCAACTAGACGATGAACTGAATCGAGCTGGCGGTGAACTACAGCAGGCTGTGCACCAACTGGAAGAGTTGCAAGAATGGTAAAAAGTAATAAAAAGGAAATTAAACGTAAAGATGACAAGATATGTGCTCTGGATATGAATCTTAAGTAAGGGGTGCCAGATTGTATGTTTAAAAAAAATGTATAATTATTTTATATAATATTATTATTATTATTAATTTGACTGATTTTGTAAATATTTTTAAAATAACAACTTAAAGTTTACAATAACGTGTCATAGCAGCTACAATTGTGCTTATAAATGTGGCCTTATTTGGTGTAAGTGTTAACAACTTAGGGGGTACAGTTTATAAAATAAAGCCTTTAATAGGGGGTCTATTAGGGATTAAATGTGATTGGCTGATGGTACTAATTATTCATGTTGTGTGTCACAGGGAAGCCAATGAGGAACTGATGAATCGGGACAGAGAATTAACAGATTTAGATCAAGCACTGAAGGAGAGACAGTGGGAATTGAAACAAAGGGCGGCACAGGTTGCACAGCTAGACATGACGATGAAAGAACACCGCAGCGAATTGGAAACAAAAGTTGTGAAGTTGGAAGAACAGTTGAGTAAAAGTCAGCAGAATCTGAAAGAAAGGTCAAAACAGGTTAGTGTTATTATATCTTCAGTGGTGTAGGTACAAGTTCTGTATTGTCCCTGCTACAGATGCTTTTTATTTGGCAGTTGATGAAATGTGTCTTAATAAGTGATTTTTTGTTCATTGCGAGATCTCATGTTTCACGTGAGAGGCGTGGACCGAACATTGGCCACAAAAATCAAATAATTTGACTTTGAATTTCTTTTTCAGCTCAGTGTCGAAATGCTAATTTTTCAGAGAGCAGTATAGCATTAGGATACCCTTACTTTATCCAAATTGACCGTCATCAAATGTCCATGGCAACAAAATACCTCCAAAATACTTTCTTATTTGTGGAATCCCATGCAATGTTTTGACAACCGTATGAGACTATGACCTTTGGTTGCCTTGTCTTTATATTCAATTTCATGCATAACCC